TAAATATATTTAAAGTGTGGGCTAGTGGGTCTGGCAGTTGACCATCAACCCAGGCTGTGGGCTCTCAACACCTCTGTTACTGTTGCTAAAAATTCCTTGTTGCTTTGATAATTGGTGCAAATGATGCAACTCCATTTATATTACCATGTAGAAGAGCATTATCTAGCCTTCTTGTCTCCTGGACCGCTGAGAAATGCAGCATTGACTGATAAGATGGTTATTTTCTAGTGGAAACACACCTTCCACATCTAATCCAGTTACGCCTGAGTAGAAACCTTTCAAAAGCCTCCTCAGATGGATTGCAGCAGTCCTGCTGTGCCCTGTGTTTGTGTGACAGTGAGTGCTTGTGGATGACAGACATATAAACGACATTCCAGCCTAGATGGGGGCAGAGATTCCGGTGAACTATGTGCTCCCAGGCACGCTGAGGTCTTGTGACTCGTATGTCATCCCCTGGCTTTTCATTTCCCTTGCGCCTTTCTTCCTCTCCATTTCTCGTGTTATCAGAGTTTAAAAGAGCAATGATCTCCATTTACCACAGGTTCTCTCTCCAGTCTTTTCATCTTTCCTGTTGCTTTGCAGTAGAGTATTGCATACCTAGACTTTACTCAACTTTGCATTGTGCTTAGCTGACCTTTGCAATCTCCCTGTCCCCTTCCCATCAGACTTAGAAGTCTTCCAGAGTAATGCTGCTTATACTCCTAAATCCGGCACTCACAGAAGTACAGAAGAGGCAACATCTGTATCATCAGGATGCAATATCATTACCCCTAATTTTGCTTAGTATATTAGAAATCTTGTTATTCTGGGAGACTCAGCCTGCTTCTAGCTGTTTGTATTTTCTGTTGAGGTGTGCTTCTTGGCTAAGGCTCCGAGCTTCTACATTTTATTTTAACGTATGTTCTGATTTGCCTTGGTAAATCTGAGAACAGGAGATTCTAAATGGAGACAAAAATAGCTTACAGCCATCTGTCACTATTACCCTTCAGTATTCTGCAAATGGACAGAATGGAATTATAACTGGATTGTGTTGTCCCTATAGCTATTAGGTAAGCCCTGCCATTTTTCATCCCTTCCTCATAACCTGCCATCTCTGGTCTGTCACGTCTATATCCGTTTATTCCTGGAGTGGTGTCTGTAAAGGGGCTCTTTCTGCCTCTCTCCCTGGATAAGAGCTGTACAACAGACTGACTTGAATGCCCTGGCCCATCTAAATTCTTTCTGTTTTTTTAAATTGTCTCCTCTAAAGCCTCTAGTGATGTTCTTTACAATTTTATACAGTTTTGAAAACACTCCAAGATTGCTTAAAAATGTTGTGGCCCTTATAGACTTGCATGTTTTCCTGTCTGCCTTTCTCTCTGTTGCTTGTTTCTTTATTCGTATACTATAAGCTCTTTTTGGCAGCCCTTGGCACAGTGAATGCTGATCTGTGACTGAGGCTTCAGGTGCACAGTAATACCAACAAATTATAAAGGTGGGAACTTAACACAGGGAAACACAATTTCCAGGCTGGACCCTATGCTTTCCACCTCAATGGCAGGTGATGAGGTACTGTGGGAACATTGCCTAAGCGGTTTTCAGACTCATTTTCTGACTTACTGTCATTATGATAATCAGGAAGGGAGATATTGCATCCTTGGAGGCACACCCTTGAGCACTGCACGCTTAGCCACTGTAGCAGAGAACTGGGAATGCCCCCAACCTCAAACTGCGAGTGCAAGCTCCTGAATCTGGCAGGAAAAGCATGCCTTCCCTCCCCATGCCTGCTGCTCCTCAGGTGGCTGCCTGTCTCGTCCCAGCCTAAAAAGGGACAGCATTCCTCAACGGGAAGTGATCGCGTTGGAAACCTCGATGAACATCTGTGAACAATCAAACCAAACATCCACACCCGGCGCAGCAGCAGACCGCAGCCAAGCATCTGTGGTAGCGTGGAGTCTTGGAAGGGCCTGCACTCCCGCCACTAGGCTCCCGATGGGAGCAGCCTCCTGGGGCTTGCAGTCGTGGTGGTGCTGCCTTTTGTAGCTTGCCAGTGACAAGCTGCAGAACAAAACCACAAGGCGTGAGATGTAGCTCAAAGCTACAGGGTTTGTAGAGCCAAACCACAAGGCTGAGAATTTCAGTTAACTATAAGCCAGGAAAACAGTTTTTAGTTCTTTAGCTCTATATGGGGTTTTGCCTTCTGTATAGGTGGAAGCGTGAGAGTTGTCTGCTGAGACTCCACATTTCTCCCTACGATTGTTTTAGAAACCACAGGGGGAAAACACACCAAAATGAAAGATTACTCCTGGTGTCCCTCAATAAGAATCTCAGGGGAACTGCCCCGAAAAGTTACAGGGAAGAACACAGAGCAAAATAGAAATGAGACAGAAGGGAGAAGCCAGAGCAATTTCAGAGCAATGTGATAGCTGAGGGAAATGCTTAGGCAAATAGTCTGGATGAAAGACAGGAGAAACAGCCACACAGAAGGGACCAAAGCAGACAGCTTGTATTCCCAGCTATGGATAGAGTCCACGTTTATTTTGCACTGGTATTGAACTAGCTGAGAGGAGCCCAGGTATGGTCCTAGTGGTTCACACAGCACTGGGAAAATGGGCAACTGTGATATGTGTAGTTATCTCTCTGAACAGCTCAATCAACAGCAAAGAATAAAAGTCTCGAATGTTTGTAATCTCTCTGCTTTTTCTTTTCTCTTTCATTTTTTGTGTGTAATGTAAAAACCTACTTAAATCCCAGAAGTTACGTAGACTTTCCTATGGAGTGTGAGTCCAAACAAAAGGTGGCTTTTGTCCACTTTAAATAGCTTGTAGAGCTTTGGTTTGAATTGTTTTCAAAATTTAGGTAATGCCATATTTAGAGTTGCACGTGAAATCATAATTGAACTTATAAATTTATTTTAGTTTCAAGGTCACAGTATTTTTCCAGGGTGTGCCTGTTTAAACCCCTGATAAGGTGTTTTCACTGAATGAGTAGCTGTTCAAGATTTTTGTTTATTTTATCATCTTCATTTCTGTGAGACCTGGAGCATGCAAGTGGAATTGTGATTTTTTTTTTTTTTTAATTTATTTTTTTTTCCCCCTCCTTCTCTGGAACTGAAAGGCCTCTGCTTTACATGTGCTTTTAGGAAATTCCAAAGGTTTAATATTTATGCTATTTTTAATTAGTTTTCACAAGGAGGCAAAACTTAGCTGACATACCAAATCCCTCAAATCCCTTGGTGAAATGGATATCGGACTTTATTAACATTTATAAAGTTGATATTTTTTCCTAATATATTTTTGTTTAAAAATGGCAGGATCACTCAGTGGCTGAAAATGTCATATTGTAATGGAAAGTATTAGACCACTTTGACACCAGGCATTCTTTCTAATTCAACTAGGATGAAAGAAATTAGTGTTAATTAGGATTTTTTTTCCATTTAGGGTCCTAGGAGCACTTTGCCGCTGTGAAAATGTGAACTTAAACTCACAGGATCCTTGCCCTGGTTAGCAAAAGCGTATTATGTTTGGGCAGCTTTGAGGGGGCGTGTGGGTTCAGAACAGAATAGCAATGGCATTTGGCTGTCTCAGACTGTCGCTTTGGGTAACAGTGTGCATCCTCATCGAGTTTGATATGTTAATGCCTTTCATAAGGCAAGAGCCGTCTACAAAAATTTCGTTCTTCAGGATCTGAAATTCAGCAGCTAAGGATAACCATGGGATTGTTCCATAAAGAAGCCTCTGTAAGGTGTTTAGCACTACGTGGTGTAAGGAGTGCAGGAGTGATGTGCAGTACAAGTAGTGTGTGAAATGCAGCAGGCATTGGCTGTGGCCGAATCACTACTGGGCAGGGGGGACTCCTGAGGATTTTGCAGGGGATCATCAACATTTTCAGCAGTGCCTTGAAAGCAACTGTGAAGTCACTGCTAAGCTGCAAGCAACCCAAAACTGCTGTAAATAATGACTTCCAAAGCAGTGCTTTTTATGTAGAGTGTAATGTCTGCCTCTGTTACTTGTTATGGACATCACGGGGAAGATGGCTTAATGCTTCGAGAAGGAGGTATTCAGTCGGATTATCCTGCCAAAGCTGTTCGTTAGCAGATTAAAATTCTTGCCATCCTCCCTGTGCCTTGCTCTGAATTTTTAACCCAAACAGAAGTGAAACGTTAGAACGTAATTGTTTGTAAGTCCTGTGAACAAGGAGCCTCCAGTTACTTTGAGGGCAGTACATGCTCTACCTGCTAACATTTGGACTAGCAGGAGCAATGATATAAAGCAATGTGGCAGAGAGGCACGAGCCCCTCTGTAGACAAGCTGTCTAGCAGGGCAGCAGTATTCAAGGCCGGTGTTGTCCCATGTTTGCAGGGTGAAGACTTTAATTAAAAAACAATCTATTGAGTAAACATAAAGGACATACTTAGTTGTTTTTTCCCTTGTACCATGACCGTGCATGACTCTTCGCAAGACAAAACGACACCTTTATAAGCTTACAGCTTAATTCACATAAAACCTAACAGAAGAAGGTAAATCTAGGCTAAAGTGGGAAGCATGTAGCTCACACTCAAAGTAGAGCTGTATGGTCATTTTTAGCTCTTTGAATGTTCTTAAAAGCATTTGCTATCCAAGTGTACAACCCTTGGAGGCAGGTGGAAGTGATTACAGCCTGTGCTGGAATGCTTAAGCCATTACCCAAACTAGCTGAAGTGCCAATAAGAGTGATAAGATGGCACCAGGGAGAGGGTCATTTGTGCTGAAGCCCAGGCCTCTCGGTCTTCCTCGCACTTGTCGTCTAGACTAGCTCGAGTGCATCTGCACATGCTGCTGTCGCCCCTCCAGGATGCAGCCTCCCACTACAACCTTATGCTAGTGCCTTGTGGCAGTGAACAGGGACAGTGGGCACTGCTGCCAGTGGTGCATTTTAATTTTATTTTTTAAAGAATAATAGCAATCTGCTATCTCTTGTATATAGTTGTGTTTGTTGGTTTATATTTCCTTGATTTTTTTCCTTTTTGTTACCAGAGTGCCTCTGATGGCTTTTGGAAGTCAGTGGCAACCCGTGTCCCAAGAGAACCTCATGAGATACGTATTCTGAATCCCTACTTCATCCAGGAGGCAGCTTTCAGCTTCATCGGACTGCCTTTCAACAATGGCCTGATGGGCAGAGGGGTAGGTATAAAGCAGAACAAGCAAAACCAAGGGGAAGGACAAGAGACCAAGTACGCTGTGCCTACTTTACCTTTGGGTGTCTACTGGACAATGAAGGGAAGGGACTTTGACTCAGTTACAGTAGCAGTGCTCAGCCTCCTTAAGACCAAGGCAAGATTCTTCCTTTCTGGTATGAGGCAATGGCTGTACAGAAGCAGCTCTGAGGCTTCCAGCACCAGCAGGGTGATTTCCTGTCACCCACAACCTGACAGAAGGGCACTTGTTTGTGTGGGTGGAAGGAGCTCCTTCCCAAAAGGAAGAAGGAATCCTCCTCTCTGCACCCTCAGTGCACCTGAAACTAGTGCAGGTCTCCCTAAAGGTCATGCTACTGTTCTACAATTTGCTGTCCTCATGGATACTGTAGCCTAAAATCACTGATATAGCACGTCTCATCCTGTATCCCAGGCTTATAGTAAAAGAGAGTAAAGGTTTGTTTTATGAGTCCCTTGATAAGAAATTCTGATCTTACAGTGGCAAGTTTTAAATGTAAAAGTTTGCAAAAGTAAACGACGTAAAACACAGTTCTAGCTCATAGTTATTAACTATGGTCATAGTAGTATCTGTCACCCCCAGTGCAGCTTTTTGGAGTGTTAGCGGTAACTTGGGTTTTCTGGATTATCTCACAATGCAACACTCTTGTGAGAACCTATTTATATTTGCTGTACCTAATATATCAACCATTAGAAAATACCTGGGTGCGTAAATTACTCTATGTACACATGCGCTGTAGTTGTTGATAGAGAGATAGAGACCACACGTGACATTTTTGGGCACGTTAGCACAGCTGACAAACCTAGAGAAGCACTTTTGCTGGACAAGATCTGCTTGCTCTGTCCCTGTTATTGTCCCTCTGTTGTTGTCAGTACAGATTTGCCATGTTGCACCATGGATTTGGACTAGACAGAATAGTTCATCATTTTCCATGCTCTAATTTTATCATGACGTCTTCAGAAGTATTGAAGACATTTGTTTTATACAGGTCAGATGGGTGGGTGCCTGGAGGTAAGAAATTAACTTCTTAAAACGGGGTGTGCAAGATGTGCGGACAGATTCAGGCACACAGAATGGGTCTTTTGTGAAGTGCATTGCTGCGTATGTATGTACAGAAGCTGTCTTAGGGTTCTGGAACCACTGGATTTTTGCTCCGCGCATCGAACGTATCTTATCCCAAATGTTTCCGTCACCTGGGAGGTAACTTCACCTCTCTGCATTCTCCCCTTAGACGGATGCGGTTTTGATTTGTCTTCCAGAAACTCAGGACTGCTGCCCCAGTGAAGGACAGATTTTATCAAAATTTTTGCCTTTATTTTCTCCAGATCTGTTTTTGTTTTTAAACACGTTATTTTAATACACAAGATATTACTTAAGCTAAGAGGAGAGAGAATCCAGAAATGAAAATGCTGTGAACTGAAGTTTATGGGGTTTTGATAACGTTGTTTAACACACATCAGATTGGGAAATGGAGGCATCTTAATTGAAACCTGATGTTTCACCTCATAAAAGTCCATTTGAGCATTTAAAAATAGTTTATGGAGCTTTAAAGCAAGCAATCTTTGCCCGTGACCCCTACTAGATTGTGTAAATTGTAGTTCATTCCTTCAGATGGGGCAGCAGGAGCTCTGCAGGTCCATCTGTGGGGCTATGACATTAGTATACCCTGTGCTGTCTGTGCAAGGACACTCTAATATAGTGATTCTATCACCGTTTAAAAATAGGGAGAGAGTATTTCTAGCCTGTGAGTACAAATTTTACTGCAGATATCGACTATGGACTGCTGTCGTGGAGCTCCTGGGACTTCATGCTTTAGCGAATGCTGCTGCATCAATGCCGATGCTTCAACAGAAGCTACTGCTGCCAGTGTAAAGAGGAAAGAAGAGTCTGAGTAGGACTGCAGTGATACAAATTTGCTGCAGACCTTTTTTCGCTGAGACTCTAAATGGGAAGGGAAATCAGCCTGTAGACCAAGAATCCAACTCTCGTGAAAGATTTGAGAGAGATCCAGCAAGATGAGTGAGGCAGCTAGAGCAAGAAGAATTGCTGCAGAAGAGACAGTGTGACCCAGCAGCCACAGAACATATCTGGTTGGGTTCAGAATCATGCTTTACAGATGCAAGACAGCCTGGAAAACTTCACGTAAGAAGCATATGAACATGGAAAAGGAAAACGCTGAGGTCTAGTAAGCAAAAGCACAGTTAACATTATGTGTCCTGAGTTTTTCAGCAGGGACTGGGTTGGGGGCAGATTGGCGCCGCCATGCTGCAGTGTGCTGTGGTATGTTGGGCAGGCTACACACAGGAGAATCAAGGCTGGGGATGCCTTAGTAATCAAGGCCAACATGAAATCCTCATAAAGAGGAGCAGTATTCCTCTCTTCGTTGGTTCTGATGCCTAAATAAACTTCAGTGCTTCTCTTGCACGCCACATATGGTAACAATGTGCTGCCAATTAACTTCATAATTTGGGGGCTTTTTCAGCAAGGTTGAGGAGAGCTAGCAAAATAGTTTGAGGCTGATCTCAAAGCGTTTTTCCCAGGATTCAATAAAGGTTGAATGTAGTAACATCCTCTGCTTTGATAATATAATTTGGGCCAGATGGTTCTGGAGGATAGTAGGGGCTACAACTCAGACGTGCATTTTAGTTGCATTTGTGGCATTAGTAGCCAAAAGTCTGAGCAAGGAGCAAAATTGTGATCACCCACAATGAACAGTGACTTCTCTTTGGGAATGGTAGAGCTTTTCAGGAGTTTCCTCAGTCCATTTAGTGATGTCTTAAGAAGAGGGAGAGCTGTTTCCTTTTACATGTGGACTTCTCTTTTCTTGGGATAAGCTGGTGATAAAAAAAAAACTTTAGGATCCTAGCAATGTCTGGCGAAAGTTAAATGTTATTGCCTGAAGATGGTTTAGAATGAAAGAAATGAGCTAATAAAGATCCTCTCTTTGATTGAAGAATGCTCTTCAAGAGTGGGCACAGGATTGGCTGTCTCACTAGACAAAGATGTATGTATGTAATTTATGTTTAGGTGGAAGTTCTGTGTATACGGGTCTTTTGGGCTTGAAAGCAGACATCATTGGTATTGCAGCTGGTAATTCAGTCATGCAGTAGCCTACCTTGCACTGCAGACAGCTTACTGGGGGACGAGTGTGAACATCAATTCAGAGGCATCATTGCCTGTTGCATGTACAGCAGTAGGGATAGTTACTGCCATGATGTTTTTTGCTGTGTAGTGAATAGTCCTATCTACTCAGTAGCACTCAGAAGCATTTGAGAAGTGGCTTTCTGGCTTCTCTGGGAGCCCTGAGCATGATATGAAGTGACCAGGAGAACATTTCAGATGGCACAAATTGTCCAGACTCCAAGAACTCCAGTGCAGACTGTGGTCGTTTCTCTCTCTCTCTGCTGGTGCTGTGCATCCACGGAACTGCTTATGATTTAACTTTTTGTGAGATTAAGCTCTGCTGCCCAAAACTTCTCCTCTGGACTTCACACAGCCTCAGCACCAACTTGGTGAAGGAGGAGCCATGTGCAGGAGGTGTTATCAGGCTGCTCAGGCACCCAGCCATGGATTAGCACCTCTGCAGAATGCTGACAGCCCACATGCACTCAGAGATTAACCTCTGATGCTGGAGCATTAGCATGTCCCCTGCTGCAGGACTTCTCTTTGCTGTTATGTGGTTTCGCATGTGGGCAGGCAGCCTTTCTGGAGATGCCAGTGGTGACCCTTTGCTCCTTAGGCTTTTCAGCTCCCCTGGCTGGTCATAACGACCCTTTCTCATTAGTACTGGTTTGCCCTGGTGCCAGCAAACTTTGTCTCCTGGGCCGTTCTTGCTGGACTGTCGCTGTGTGAAGGTCACGTCTTGGGACCCATTGGGTGTTTATTGAGGAGAAAAGAGGTGGGGGATGGCAGGAGCAGAGCAGTCTGCCACCCCATTCTTCCAGTTGCATGATTCTCCTCCTTTTTTTGCACTCTCACAGCATCTTCTAAGGCAGATAGAGAGACAGGTAAAGGGCCGCTGCAGCTGCAGTCGGTTAAATATAGAGACTTAGTGTCATTGTAAGCTTTGGGTTTGCAAGACAGCACATCTGCTTCATGGACTGGACTGTTAAATCCATCACCAGTGCAGTGTGATCAGTCCATGACCTGCTGGGGAATTGGACACTCAGACAACCCATTATAGGGTAGCAAGTAAATGCATACCAGCTGCTTCTCAATAAATGCCCAACCATATGCTTCTGCATATGACAATTGCAAAGTAACTGAAGGGAGTTTACTTTTCAATGAAAGAGTAGGCCATGAACTCCAATTTAGCATAGGGTGAAGCATATATATATATATGGTTACCACAGAACAGCTCGCTTGTGGTAAAGTCATGCCCTTGCTTGCCCTCTGTGAAATCTTTAGGTCCTTAAGAAAGACTCCCTGCATTCCACAGGAATCTACTCTGTGGCAAACAGTGAATCAGAGCTTGTGCATCAGGTTAGATGTGGTCAAAGGTACTTGATTTGGGCTAAGTCATATAGGAGTTCAGCAGTTAAATGGCAGAACAGAAACCTGCTGGGCAGCTTGTCATGTCTCCATGCAGGCCCTTGCTGTACTGCAGACCGCCAGTTCTGAAGGCTCTCTTCCACTTACAGCAAGGGGTTACTAGGGGAGTTGAAGGAAAAGTGTTGGAGATGCTCTGCTTTGTCTTTTGACAGTACTGCAGCTGATTCAGTGCATGGATGGAGGTAGCTGTGGGAGCACCTTACAGGTGCACCTTACTTAGAGACTGTAAGCTGCTGTGACACGGACCACTTTGCAGAGTGTCAGGCACTTGTCTGCGTACAATAAGTGATGCTAAATTGCTTTTTATGCCATATTTCCAGACTTGCCCACTAAGGGAAGCAAAGCATACATTTGGAGTTATTCCTGTGCAAACATAAATGAGCAAAAAGTAAATGCAATGACTGCTGTGTATAGTGTGT